GCAGTGCTTTATTTCTTTGTGACCTTGCATAAAATTCAATTCTCTAAAACTTCAGGCATTCTTTAAAGAATGCAGATGCTTGAAACCCAACTACAGCTAATAGAGCACCTCTGAAAATCAGATCTTAATCACTGAATATTAGAATTTTCACTGTCTGAGTGTTCCTGTGTTTCTAGTTCTTTGTGTATGTCCAAACAAATGATATTTTCTAAAGTCTTTTGAAATCTGCCCATAAGAAAATGATTTCCCTGAGTGTAGTTAAGTACTACTTAACCTCTCCTATAATATATGCATTTTCATTAAAGGTAATCTTATTGGGCATTACTGTATTAAATATCTTCATCTTTTTCAGATCTCGTAGAAAATTTTGATGAAGCATCAAAGAATGAAGCTAACTAAAACATTAATAGTTCTGGAAGCTGGCATGGACTAGATTTAAGAAATCAGCTATGTGGTTCCAAAGTTTAAAGAAACAGAGAACATCATCTGTTAATAGTTCAGTAATATAAATATTTTGTATTTTTATGATGCTGTTTGTTCAGCATTTTCTGTCAGTTGATTTTGCATTTTGCACTTACTCCCAGGATCTACTCTTTTGGTCAAAAAAGAAATGTCAGTGCATTTTGAGGGGTGTGTGTATGTGTGTGGGTGTACGTATAGTGGAGAACAAATTGGAGAACGCTTATTTAACCATTTCCCCTTTTCCTTTGGAAGTAGAAATAAAACGAATCTTCAGCATTGCTACTTTTGAGTACCACCAGATAGCGCACAGAAGGTAGTTAGGGTGAACTTTTTGTTCACATTTTGTGACCTGAAGGCATTACACCATTAACACTTGGGGTTAATTTGCTGTTAACTATTGTACTTGCGGATGTTTCTCAGTGTACACATTTGTTATCAACCCTGTGTTGATCCCAAATGATACCGAAGATGAGCTGTTTCAGCAGCTTGTTTGGTACAGTAACTTTTTTAGAACCTGGTCTCAGAAAAGTGTGCTTTTCTTAACCTTCTTCAGCTTTTTTTTTTTTTTGTCTCTAACCTTTTGATACAAGCTGATATTTGACTCTTTCCGTGTAGGCTTAGCAGTGTGTTCTCCTGTTGGTTACTGGAGTATTTCCCAGTCAAAAGAAAACCAAACATTTTGGTTCTCTACTCTTGGGTCACTTCCTAAGCTTGGAGGTCTGGTTGGTAACAGTCCAGTGCACCAGTTTTACACAGTAACCGGTTTTTGCTTGAATAACTTCAAGCTGTTCTCTTGGCATGATTGCATTTACTAGCAGCTGATGATCCACTGTCATTCTTAGGGCACTAGGAATTAAATGCACTGTGTGAGCAATGCCTAGGGTGGGAGGAAAGAGTTGTTGACACTTTGCCTTGCTTCCTACTGGGCAGTTTGTGCAGTGATTAGCTCTAAAGGGATTTTTTTTTTTTTGCCTGTAACTTACCTTGGCCTATAACCTACCTCTAGGTTTGGTGTCATCTATGTAGTAGCTTCTTACAAAACACAAATGCTCCTCAGGCATGAGGAGGACATTGGGAAGTACTGTTGGTACAGTGCAGTATTTATGACCTTTCTTTAAAATGCTTAATGTGAACCTGTTTTTTCAGAGGCTCTTTCAAGGTTCTTGATGTAATGTGCATTACAGTATAGTTAGACATCATCGTAACCTCTGTCAAGGGCAGCTGTGGCTTAAGAAAGCCATTCTGGTTTTGTTTTTTTCTACATCTGTCACTTAACTATGGCTTAATTGGAACATATCAGCTTTTGATGTAGGCTCATATGCTAGAGAACTGTAATAGTCCAAGCAAACAGTCCATGAGTTCTGGAGACTTCATGAAACCACAGAAGTAGAACTGTAGTGGTTTGTCCTCTGAACTCCTCGGTTCGTTTTACAGGCTCCGTTCCGTTTTTCCTGTTATATTTTATATACTACATGGATCTTACTACAAAATAAAAGTACAAAAGAGGAAATGCTTCCTCCTGTGTGTTGTCTGCTCCTCCCACCAAGGGCAGGTGGATGCAGCAGCTGTTTGGAACAGCACTGCATTCCTTGTGGCAGTGACTGAGGAAGACACATGCAGGACTGGGGAGGATTCCGGTAGGGCTTTAGGATTTCACACTCCTATACCCACTCCTGTTTTCCCTATGGTGATGAATGAACCTTTGGTTTGTTGTATGGCTGATCAACTGCAGATGATTTGTGTCTATAAGGAGGAGATGTCTTCATTGGTGTGTGCCCAGTAACATGGAATTGCCTTCTGCTGCCTCTGCGAGCCCAAGCAGTAAAGGAAGGACACGAAGCAACAGGTATTTGCAGTGTTCTTCCATTTGCTTGAGAGGTGTGAGCAAAGACCCTTTCAAAGTAGCAACTGTACTGAGATGATGTATGGGACATCCCCTTCCTAAATACTAATCAGATACTGAAAATTCCTGCTCATTGGTTTCTGATGTAGGAAGTATGTCAAAAGTAATTTTGAGAGAGATTAAAAGTAAGCCTTGGAAACAATGATTCCATAAGTTTATATAGCTGAACTTTCTAATTCCTCCAAAATACTCACTTAGTTTTTTGCTCTTGGTCATGACAATTTATGTGTTAAACCCTCAGTTTTTCCTATGTTGACAACCAGTAAACTAACTATGCTAGCTTATGTAGTTCTATTCAGTTTTTTCACTGTATCTGGAAACAGTCAACCACTTACGATTTGCTGCTGGAAATACTAGAGCTTATCAATCATTAAACTGATTTTAATTAAAAGTAGCCCATCAAGGCTGTTGTGGGAAAAACTCTTTTTTCTTTGTATTTATTCATGGTATAACACAAACAGTGCTTGTACATGCTGATGGAAATGCAGGGTTATTAAAAGTAGTTTCAGGGAGTGTTGGTAAATAAAAACTCCCCACACAAAAGTGAACATGAAAATGTTCTTTGCTTGGCTTGAAACTGAAATATGTTGATAACTTGCTCGTATTTGTCAGCTTCCCATGGGAACAAGGAGTTGCTATGCGCTCCCTTCTGTCAGGATCTTCACAAGTAATGTTTTGCATTTGGTGTGTACAAGATGAGATCCAGAGGTCTTAGAGCTGATTTAATTACCGAGCAGTATGTTGATTTACCAGTGTCAGGAAGGAACTGAGGAAGCTATAGCAGCACAGTAAAGCTGTGCTGTATGTAAGAGATGAACTCAAGCCTCTCCTGAGGAATGTCCAGGAAGGATCCTCCTAATGTTCCCTGGAATCAGAGTGTGCTGCTCCAGATGGTAGGGATGTACAGAGGGGCTGAACAAACTGCTCCTTAGGTGAAGGTGAGTGAGTGAATTCTTCCACTGGCACTTCAGATCAGTTTGGTTTTATTACTTGAAGACAATACTGGTTTCTTCAACAAAGTTAACAGACTTTATTTTGGAGATGCAGATTTCACTAATTCAATGATCCATGTTTTGTACTTGAGCAAATGAAGTGATGCAGAACAGAAGCCCATCACAACAGCAGCCACAGCAGCTTTGCAGGAGTGATAGCAGAAGTGCAGAGAATGGTTATTCACCTTCAACTGTTTGCTTTCCCATCAAGTAATGTTTTTTTATTTATTCCTTCACTTTCAAAGACCTCTTTGCAGACACTGAAGAACTTAATGGATTTATTCAGAAACATGAGGGCTGCAGTGTCAATCAAGAATTCAGGTAGCCAAGTGGAGCAAGCAAAGAGACTAATTCTAAAATCAGTTGTCTTGGTATGTTTGGGTGGAAGCTTGGGTTGATTCCTAGGGCAGGGTTATTGGGAATTAAGCTTTCATTCACATCCAACTCTGTGCTGGGCAAGAAATAACACTTGTACATCTTCCAGTGCCTTGGGTTGCCTTTATTCCAGCACTGCTCTGCCTCCTCTGTGTACTTTGTAAATAATTGAACACAAAGTGGATGTTTCTTAAGAGAGCTACATCTCTGTGCAATTGGTATAAAAAGGCTACTTCTACATAATAAACACATGATATTCAGTGGGCTGTCAGTACTATTGAACAGTGGGCTGTAGTACATCTGACACCACACTACACATCAGACCCACAGCTTGCTCAGATGCTGTTTTTTCTTGACAAATGGTGTCTGACAGATCCTCAAATATTGGGTGGCATTTCCTTGAACTTTGCATTTACAGGTAGATTTTTGTAGCTAAGCTAAATTAGTTGCCTCCTTGAAGTAAAAGGAGATTATCTGCTCATTTGAGTTCTTGAAGATGTTTTGATATTTTTTATTAAGTATTGATGCTGAGGCAAACATTGAAACAAAAAATCCTGTTCCAAGGCCCTTTGACCTTTCAGTGCACGTATCCCAGCTGAATAAAAGGAGTTAAGCAACCTCTTGCCCTCCCTTGCACCACCCTTGAGGCAGCTATAGTAACTGCTTATGTCAAAAGGTAATATTAGAAAATATTTAATATATTTTTAGATTATATTTAATGCAACTTAGCTGACAAAGAAGAGCCAGTGCTGAGACCAGCTCTCCACAGATATTGGGAAATGTGGCACAAACTCCATTTTGAGAACAGCAGATCTCATTTTGAGGCCGTGTGTGAAGCTGGGAATTTCCGAGTGATGCAAATTATAACCAGATACAGGTAAGTGAAGACTTAAAACCTCAGCTGATTGTCATCAGGTTACCAGGCCTATGCATACCAAGAGTGAAGTTCCCTGAAAAGCTTTCACTAATCTCTGGCTTCTCTGCTGCCAATGGGGCAGTATTCCCCTTCCTTTGCTTTCTCAAACTGATGCCTGAGGTCAGCTGGACCAGCTTGCTCTGAAGCTGTAGCTTTGGAGCTCCTCTCGTGTCCTTTGCTCACCCCCTGCCAGGCAGTGTTCAGTCTGTGTGAGATGAAGGGTGAGGGGCAGTGATTGCAGGCTCTGTTTGGGCAGTGGGGATGGGCAGCAGCAACCAGCCTCCAGGCTGCACTGAACTGGCCTTTCAGCCCTTCTGCTGCTGCTGCCGCCTCTGCTGCTGAGGCTTGGCTTGGCAAGACTGGGGGCAAACCTGTGCTGCTGCTGCTGCCAGGATCCTACTGAGTTTGGGGAAAGGGAAGGATTTGCTGTATTGGTGACCATGTGGTCAGATACTGGAACTTGCAGCATGTTTCTAAACTTGACATTGTGAAACAAGGGCTCAGACCAGTTCACTGAGCCTTGTGAGACACAGGCACTGCCTGCACCATGGGCTGATAAACTGCAGCATGTGACCTCAGTGTGCCCTATCATCCTCTGCTCCAGCCATCCCTCTGCTCCACAGCCTTCCTCTGAGCCCATTTTGCATGTCTCTGTTTAGATGAATGCTGATTTATTGCAGCAAGCTGTTGAAGTTTTGATTCATCCTGCAGGTTCTTGTTCACTGAAAATCACTTTTTAAGTTACTTGCCGAGATCTTTAATAAGGAATTTCCACTTTTGTGACAAGATCTGGTTTCAAATGGGTTCTGGCACGTGGTGTTGAATTGAAAATAGCTGTAACTTGCTTACAGCATTGTTAGAGTCTCCAGGGATAATGATGCAACTAAAGCTTCTGCTCTGTTCACTTTGAAACTCTTGCTCTATTGCTGGAGACTCTGCTCTGTGTGATGGACAGTTGTAATTAGTGACACTTTTGCATGTTTGCTGTTTCTGAAAGAAAGCAAATAGGGCCTAAAATAATTTTTACTTTGAATAAGGATTTCTTCCCCTGTATGTCTTAAGTTTCCCACAGCCTGCTTCCTCAGCTCCACTGAAAGACACCATGTTTTCTCATGATCTCCTGCTGGATGTTTGGCTAATTTGCTGAGACTTCTATTTTGAAACAAAAGTGATGTTGGTCTTCTGAAAAACAGGGAATGTGTTACATTTTCTAGTCTTTTTTGTGTCACCTTTCTCTCAACCACTTTATTTCTGTGTTGTTGTAAATTATTAACTTTTGAACACAGAGATATTGTTGCCTCTAACTCTTCTCCTGCCCTTTGAGTTGCAGGGTTGCTTTTATTGGCAGCATGCACTGAGAAATCATGTTGGCCACTTACAGCCCTGAAATTGTAATAGTTTATCCCATTACATGGTGATTTTTTCCAGCTCGGTTCTCCTGAGAACCTTGAAATGGGCTTTCCATAAAAACATTCCAGCCACTCTTTTTCTTTTAAAGGCTATAGTCAAATTTGAAGGGATAATCTGGCCATTGTTTCTTGTGGTATACATGTTCTACCCTGATGATTTTGTAAATTATAGAGGATTTTTATTTTTATAATGCAGTCCGGGTCACTGAGAACTGGAGGAATGAGCTTGCTCGTTCTTTGGCTGCAAGCAGACACACGTCATTAGCATCTTAACTGATGGAAACTTTTCCGTGAAAAATGCACACACTCTTAATGCTTTTAATCTGCACAAGCACTCCATGAGTTTCCAATAAGCTGTAATAAAAGGTTTAGGTGTCTTATACCTACATTTCCTCAATGGCTCACAGTACCATCCTCAGGAATGTATTCCAAGTGCACTCTGCTTTGTGACTGGTTGTTTTGTCATCTTCCTTTCTCTGTAGCTGTTGTGAGTATTGTCTGAGAACCAGAACTGTTGAATTTGGACTGACAGCACAGTATGCTGCTACTTTCAAACTGCTTGGGCCCTCGTGTTCATTATGATTCAGGATGGCAAGTATTTGTCAGGAAAGAACAAATGAACTAGAACAAGAATTCACTTGCATTGAATAAATACGGTGAGCGATTCTTTTTATTAGTTCCTCTGCTGAGACGTTAATCTGTGTTAAAATTTGTATGAGATGTGCCTTCAATTCTCACCCTTTTATGTTAACACTTAGATAAACCAAGATAGGAGAGAGGTGATTAAGTGCTTGTCCTCAACTATTCTTGCCCTCATAAGCAGTCCCATGAAAAATTGCTGTGGGAGGAATTACATGTATTGTCTGCTTGGACAATAAAAACAAGCTTTAACAGTTGTTCTTACCATAGTTAAGTAATCCTGTTAAAGCAGAAACATTTGCAAGTTTTATACTCGGGATGTCTTTCTGGTTTGGTAAAAGCAAAATAAAGCAAATTTCAAAGATGCCAAAGAGCATTTTTGTTTCTCTCCCTCCCCTCCAAGAAAGCAGCTTCCTGATGTATATACTGTTATTTATTCTGCCCTATTTAATTCTGCATCATAGTCAAAATTGTTTGCAAGGGTTCTGGCTGGCTGAAATGAGGTACCAGGCTTTTTTAGCAAACTCAGAGCATTCAGCTGACTGAGGGACAAACCTGAACAACATCCAAACATGTCTCATTGAGATGTTGAGGAAAGAGCTGGTCAGGCCTTCCCAAGTGTCTGACTCACAGCACTCCACAAAATCTCAATCGTGTGATTTAGCAAGTCATAAATAAGCCTGGGGTGGGTTTTTTTATAGGCCTAATTACACCTGGTGAAGCAGTGTCCTTTTGCTCGAGCGGGGAGTTGCCACACTGCTGCAAAGGCAAAACATGGCCAGGAGAACAGAAAGGGTCAAGCAGAGCCATGGAGTTCCTGGGACAAGCAGGAGCAGTGTGTGTACTTGTGACCCCATTGTCTCCATGTGCACACTTCCTGGGATGTGGTGGTAGGGTTTGTCTGTGATGGTAAGTCTGAACCATTCCCTGTTTGCCATCACTGCTGACTCAATAAATGACACAGTCGAGGTGAGCATGTGTTTTGTGGATTTTTTCTTTGTTGGTTGGTTGGTATGTTGGGTGGTTGGGCTTTTTCCCCCCCTCATATGTATTAGTGAAAGAAAAATGAACTGCTGGGGCACCAGGCACACCTGCCTGGAATAGTGAGTGACTATTCAGCCAGATCTTTACGTAACACCAGTGATGTTACTGCTTCTTTCATTCAGTTTTTTTTGACTCAATGCAGAACCATAATGGTTTGGAAGGGACCTTAAAGGTCATGTAGTTCCAACCTCCTGCCATATTCCAGTGTCTGCGGGATTCCAGGCTCATACAGTCCATCTTCAACACCTGGCAAATGGGAATTTTAGGTATGTTTCTTTGAATAAGGAACACAGCACAGGCTGGTATGTGAAGCATTTGCTAAGCCAGTGCAGCTGCAACTGATGGGATATTTTCTACCATTAGGGGAAATGAGTGCAGCCAATGCCATTCCAGCCATTGCTGGGCTAATACTTGAATCTCAGGGATTGCCTATTAAACACTGATGGTAAGGGAAGAACACAGTTGCCATTAGTGTTGCATCAATGTATCGTGTCGCGGGCCTTGCTCAATACTAATTCCTTGTTACGTTATTTTCTGTAAAAAAAACAGAATGAAAGACAGCCCTTTCCCTTAAACCTCCACAGGGATTGTGTAATGAATGAAACTGGTTTTCAGTAATTATGAATGGCAGTAAAGTCCACTTAGAGGGGTCAGGGATTCTTCCTTACAGAAATGACTGTAGTGTCCCAGCAGGACATGGACAACAGAATCCATCCCACTTATATTCCCTTTGAAGCAGACATAAAATTGTTTAATAATCACCATTTTGTGAAAGTTGCATTGAGATGTTTGTCATCCTGGCAAAGGGAACCATCCTTGTTTACTGGTCAGCTTTCATTTTTGTGGCCTGTTACACTAAATGGCATTTTTACCAAGCTGAAATATTTTCTCAATCAAAGTCTTTAGTAGTAGGGAGTGCTTTGAACTCAGCTTAGAAAGCTCATTCTTTCTAGTATTTGAAGCCTTTGCCTATTACATAAATTACAGGCTTAATGAACTCCCCTTTGTCCCACATGTACATTATCTTGAAATTGTCTGTCTTCCCCAACCCCAAATTCATTAATCACCTGCACGCTGCCACAGTCACAGAGCCATGAGCCTGCCACAATTCTGCCAAATTTTCATCTTTCTTGCTTGTAACCTTGTCCTTCCTATTCAAGCCCTCTCTCTGAGGTATCCATTTCTGTGTTGCCATACCAGACAAAGTTCTGGCTCAGTTTTAGCTTGGCTCCCTCATTCGTCCAAGAGACATTATTAGATGCTCAGCTTTTTGCAAACTATAGAGGGAGATGTTTGCTCACCAGGTGGGATTTTTTTCTAGAGTGAAGCACTCATTTACCTTGGAGGAAAAGGAAAATCACACCAACTAAACAGAACTTTTCTTTCTGGCTGTCCAATAAAAGGACCACCTCATTACTGAAGGGAGAATGAGGGAGAGGGGTTTAGTTTCAAGATGTTTGACTTCTTTCTGCAGTTGGGTACTGTTCTTACCCTTTGGTGCTTGGTTCAGGCAGGAGTTTTCCATCCAGTCTGCTTTCCACTTTTTTCTTATTTTGCTGTGCTACAGTTTACATAAAACTATTATATAATTTATACAAAGTCATTTATTTTAGAAGACTGTCCTATAAACAGAATGAGGGATTTGGTATCAGGTATTATGAATGGGTAAACCAGTTCCATCATTTTCCAAGTTTCTTGAAACATAAATCCCTCTACAGAGAATTTTCTCTGGTGTCATATGTGGTACTTGAGAACCAGTGAAGGTGACTTATTTCTGAAGGAAAAAAACCTTTTTCTAAGCTTTTTCCTGTTTCACAGTTGCCTGTGTTGTAGCAGCCTGGAGGGAAGGTGCCAGTGCTGGAGCCAGGCCCTGTGTGTGCCTGTAATGACCACAGGCACTTAAGGCTCCTGTTCTATAACACTTCAAAATTATACCAATTTCAGAACACAGAAATTGTCATGTGAACATGATCTTCAGAGAGTAAATTAAATGGGTTATAACTGTCTTCCCTAGTGAATTTATGGTGTGGGGAATTTCATGTCAGCTCAGCTGACTGCCTCATTTTTCACTATGGGTTTTCCATTTTCAGTTAAGCTGTTGCTATTTAAAAAGATGACTTCCATGTCATTTGCAAAGCATGTAGAAGCTGGAGGCAGTTCAGCATTTTGACACTCTTAATTAACTGATGGCCTGTCATGAAAGTAGGGTGTAATTAAATGATATAGTAATTTTGGCCGTGCTGCTTTTCAAACTATTTTTATATCTCAGCAGAATAATTCAGGTGGTGACATCATGTCAGTATATGTCCTTCTCCTTCCTCAATGCCTACTCAAGAATTGTTGCTCATGGTTCAAAATAGCTATAAGACAATAAATTCCAACCAATTCTTGGTGAAAGAGGAAATAGAAATTAAAAAAATTTCCTGTCCCAGACTGTGGCCTGTCATCCTGTTGGGGTCTGTGAAGATGAGGTGCAATATGTGACAACCTACACATCCTGTAGGAGCAAATCACACATTCGGAGATCTGCGGAGTTTCCAGGACAATCCAGATGGGTTCATGAGAAATGACGGGAGAAAATAAAGGTAATATTGATTGCTACAGAGCCTGAGCCTTCGGATACTGCTAATGATTTGAGTAAGATTGGATTTGGATTTGGCCCAAAATACTTTTGGCTAGTGAAGATTATACTGTCTTCAGCTAGAGGGGCGGGTGTTGAAATGGGAGTGCTTTTACTGGGTGAGCAAACATAGTTTTATGGAGGTATTCCAGGAGAGACATGTCCCTAACGCAGCCTGACAGTGTTACTGTTCAGAAATTAATGGGATTTGCCAGGAGCCAGTAATACCCACTACATTTTGAGCCAGGTTCTTTTGATGTCCATTTTCTGATGTGCTGCCCTGGGGAGATCTGCCATCTATTCATCTCTTCAATCCTTTAATAACATCCCTTGTGCCAGGAACATCAGAATGCTGAATGCCATGACTGAGACGTTACTATGAATATGCTGAAGATCTTTGCTGGGTGTGCGATGAAACGATCTTTGGGGAATAAGTGAAACAAAAGAGTGTGTAGGATATCCTTTAATTCAATGAAGAATGTGGGTGGAGAAGTAATTGAAATGAACAAGATGCTTTGGATTTTCCTTAATGCCTTGAATACTTCGGGGTGTACTTAAACCTCTGTGTGTGTGTGTGTGAACCGTTTGCTGCTCAAAGAACTAATGAAAGCAGGAGCCCATGTTTTTTAACCTGCCCCCATCACACCTTTTCCCTGAGGTGTGGGCACTGTATTCCCTGTGGCAGTTCTGAGAGAGGAGAAATAACCCTACAAAGGATTTTAGACTTGTGTATGTCTGAGTGACAGCCACCTGCTGCTGAAAGCTACTGGAGTGGCTCCTTCCCTCTCCTTGCCCTCAGCAGTGGCGGTCCTTTGTGACCTTCTATGGCAGTCACCAGTTGCCTCTTTCAAGTGTGGTTAAACCTGAGCAACATATTCTTGAATTATTTAAGGGGAAAGGAAGATGTGCCTGCGATCTGCAGCACAGGTGTGTGAGCCTCTCTCCTTCCAAAGGCAGCTTGAAGTATTTTCTGCACAAAGGATGGTGTTTTTGATGCCCACTGCACCCACTGTCACTAAGAAGGAGTAGGGAGGAAAAGCCCAGGATGCCAGCAGCGGATAAGCCAAGCCATAAGGCAACAGTGTTGCCTGCAGAAGTGATGCCTGCCAGATTCCTTCAAGAATAAAATCCCTTTTGTTGGAGTTGGACTCAATCACTCCTTGAATGATTTAATTACAAAAAAACATTAACCAGAGCTAGAGAGTCAGGCATGTCTATGGATAGCAGCTATTCATTTATCTCTAGCACAACAAAGACAGGAAATGCTTAAGATAACAATGATCCAACTACATCTATCACTTCCTTTCAAGGAAGTTTCAGTTCCTTTCAAAAGAAAACCCTTTGAATCTAAGAAGACCTAAAGACTACACTCATACATATTAGATCAAACCCTTCTCATAAGCATTGAAAGAAAAAAAGATACTATACATGAAGGTCTATACTTTTGTTGTCTTACATCCTCAAAAAAAAGCCCCTCAAACAACAAAACCAACCAGACTGGAAGTATGTAACTGCATGATCATAGACGTTGTCAAGTCTACACTTGGGCTGAAAACTTTTTCTGAAACGTATTTCCTACTTCCACCAGAAACTATGAGCTTCAAGCAGATTGTGTGCCTTCACTGCTCCAGCTGTCCCTCATCCTCTGCCTTCCCCTGCTCCAGCACTCATGCTGCAGAGAAACTTGTGATTAAAGAGAAATAGAAAATGTCACAACCTTCGCAGAACAAAGAAGGATCAGAAGGAACGTAGTGGAAATGAACAGAATCAAGGATTGTATAGAGGAAGATCGAAGGGCATTAAGTTAAATTCTGCAGTAGGGCATTTACATCTGATGAAAGAATATATTTTTGAAGTACCTCAATTAGTTCATGGAACTCACTGCTACAAAATGTCACAGATTAAAACAGGATTTAAAAAGGATTAGATGTTCTTCCCTATAAACTGTGTATCCATTTATATTAGTTAGGTACAAGAATGAGCTGATTTATTTCATTTGAATACTGAATCTATAAAAAAATCTGACAGCTGTTTTGGTCATGGAATATAGTTATGTTGGAAGAAACAAAAGACTTCATCAAAAGATATCACTTCAACATTCATAATAATGGGTTATTTAATAATACCTATGTTGATTTGATTTTTCAGCAGTAGATTTTGCACTGTATATAATTAAAATTGAGTCAAGTTTGAATTGTAGTGTTTTGATTTCTCTAAAATTGTTTTGTTCTTAGAATTTTCCTTGCATCTGAAGTGTTGACATTCGAGGGAGTGGATTTCTGTTCACAAAAACAGTCATTGAAAAATCCTCCACAAAACATCCTCTGTGCTACTGTTTGCTGGTGGAATTCCTTTCTGCTGTGTCTGATGCAGTTTGTCCCCAGCCAACATATTGACTAAGTCTTGCCTCTAGGAGTGAGTGCACCAAGCACTGAGGACGTTCACTGAAGCCCACACAAATGCCTGAGTCTGTTATTCATGAGCTTGTAAGCTCCCTTGTAGGCTCACAGTTGGTCTGGTTTTGGAGAATCTCTGTTTAAAAATCACCCATTCTTCGCCATTGTGTTTCCTATGGGCCATGAAGCATGAATACCTTGGTGGGATGCATGGAAAAGTGAATATGGCTTTTTAGAAAGGGCTGTCAAGAACTTAGAAACTTCCCTCTAGAAGTTGTGAGGTGTGCTGGTCCCTCCCTCCTCACCAATGTATCATGCTTAAGGCAGATTTTTTTAGACCAAACTGGCACAAATTATGACTTTTATCTAAACAATGAGAGTCACAATTCTCAAGCCACCATCCTCTGGCACAGTGCCAACATTACTCCTGGAATACTATTCTCTTTGGAAGAGTTTTATATGACTGAGGAAATTAAATAATACCACAGCCCAGTGATATCCCAATAAACATGAGATAGGATGCAAGATCAGGAGGTCTACAATTCCAGTACAAACTCTGAAAGGCATTTTTTGAGCAATGGGGAGCAGATTGCTGAATCCTCACGAGGCAACCAGCAGGTTTCAACTATTTGTAAGTTACTTTTAGATCTTCAAATGCTAAAAACACATCTGTCAGCATTTTAGGAAGATGAAGTTCTGAAGATGGAGTTACTGTCTCAAACTCCCATTCATTTTTGAACCTCAAAGTTCTTTTGTTTCGTTGAACCAGAAAGCACATATTTAGGTGATGATTTCATATCTTCCAAATGATAGCTTTTCATGTAATCATCATAATAACACTTCCCATGAGAGACTCTCCAAGTGGCTTCACAGACCTTCCTGAGGTCTCATGGAACTCTTACTCATGCTGTAAATATAACTACTTCTACTACACAGAGGAGAGAGGATCAGTCGGGTTAAATGTCACCCAGCAAGTCAGCAAAGAGTTGAACAAGAACCTGTTTCTCCCGATTCCAAATCCTGGCGAGTTTGTTGTTACTGAGCACAGACATGTTCATCTGGAACACTCTCACAAATACTTGAACCCCATGAGTATTCATTGAAGGCATTTCCATCTTCTGGCCAGAACAGGAATGTAATCAAAAAGGTACTTAAGCATTTCCAGGGCTTCCAAACACAGATGAATAAAAAAATAAACAGTAAGAATTAAATGATCCAGTTGCTTATTGTTTTCTTGTTAACTTAATCCTGTAATTTGCCTTATTGCTTAACAGGGGCTTTCAAATTACCTGAGCATCACATCTCATTCTCAAATATCAAGTCCAAATAACAACCCCTGAAAAGTTGTTCTATGAGTATTGGAAAAATAGCCGTTGTTTGCCCATGGATTTGTGCCACCCTCTGATCCCTTCCTTGCACTCACCCCAGCCCTGCCATGTCCACAACAACCCTCTTCCCACAACAACCTCAGCTTCCTCCACATCCTCTGCAAGGCCAGAGCAGACACTGATTACCAAAGTGTCTGCTGCCACACTCAGTATGTACCAGCAGAGTTGGACTGGCTTTGGCTCGGCCCCTCTGTGTCTGACCATGGATTGACACAAAACTTTTAAGAACTAAATTTCCTTTGAGACATCAGTTTTTCATCTGTGGCAGAAATTGGCCAAGAGATCGTAAAGATATGGGAAGGAGGGAGGGGAAGAGGAAGGCAAACAATTTAATGGAATAAGTGTTATTTCTTTATTAAGCTTGGGCTAATAATTTAAAATGCGTGCCAGAGGGAGAGAAAAAGAAAAGAATCAAGATGTAATTGAAGTCCAAAGCCCTTGCCCAAGTTCCCACATAAGTTTAAAACAGATACAGACACAGATCTCTTAGACCCTCTGGGCCAGTGTCTGGAATATTGGAGAGAAAAGTGATGGATATTTCAAGATTTAGCCAGCACAGACAGTAAGGAAGTGTTGCCCCCTTTTAAACGCACAGCCTATTGAGATTACTGCTGGAAAGGATTACAATGCAATCTTTTTTTTTTACTCCTAAGAATAAGTCCTATCTGGTGGAAAATGCATCATAGATTAATTAAGTGCCCATGTATTAGTGGCTTTATCGTATGACTCACTAATACTGAGTTAACCTTAATATAGGATTCTGAGGATATTAAGCTGAGGATTTTATTGATTCACATTGTTCTGGTGCAGGTAGTACTTGAGTGTAATGGATGAAGTCTGCACAAAATTTAGAAAAATCAAAGATCCGAGGCTGATGAGGTAATCAAGGTGTATTAAGACAGACAGCACAGGAGCTGGGCCAGTCTCTCAGCCACTAGAGGGCAAAGCCACAACATTGCAAACTTCGTCACCGCACCTTTCTAAGGGTGTTATCAAGGAGGGGTTGTTTTTTTACAACAAAAGCTGGTTAAATGATCACCAAGCCCTTCCCCATCAATGGCGTTAGTAATGAATACTTACAGTATCGTTTCTGTCGGTGTGGTGTGCAGGCAGTCCTTAGCAACTGCACGGGAAAAAGAAGCCAACATTTTCTTCCATGGAACTGCTAATAAAAGCTTCAGTCATCCAAGAGGTTTGGACCCTTTAGGTTCACAGCAGAGGCCTTTCCTACTTGAGAGCTTACATATCAGTAGAAGACTGAGCACCTGTCTCAGGAACCACATCGGGAAAGTAATGAACATTTTGCTGCAAGGTTTCCTAATTGTT